AGCATTTCCTGTGTTAATCCGAAATTTCCCCCGCAGCGGACTTTGACTCTCTCCACCATTTCCCGTATGGCCAGTGGCGTACCGTCAACTAAGCGTGCATCTATCTCATGTAAACAACGGCTAAGTGTCAGTTGCAGTTTTCGTGCGGTTGCGGTATTAACTAAACTGTGACTTGCTCCTCCGTCGATAAAAATCGTCACTGCTGCTCCCTGTATTTTCCCGTGGATCAGTACTGGGCAATCTGTCGCTGTACCCTCCCTATTCGTCCGAGTCCGATCGATAGCATGAATCGGTACTGTGACTCGGTGAGGGTCGGTGGGGTTGGGCGAGCAGGCAGTCTCGTCAGTAGTTGGCACGATTCCTACTGACTGCTAGCGTTTCCCTACCTTGGAGACTCCCTCCCCTGCTCTGCTCCGCGGCGCCTCAGCTCCTCTGGGCATTCACTCTTGCGATAGCCCGGCCTATTGCAAGCAAAGCACTGCCCCTTAAACGGCGCGACAGCTGTATTCGTCGCAACGACATATACGGTGGTGTGCTCGATCGGTCCCCGAGGGCGATATCCATAGTAGGACCCCAGTCTCGGACGGCGCAAAATGTCGATTTTCTCGGCGAGCGCGAGAATCTCGTTGAAGTTCGAGAGCCCGCGTTGCATGATCTCGTGCGAGATGTCTGTCTTCAGTCCTCCGACGTAACGGTCCACCCGCTCCGCTTCGTGCATGTAGCCAACTTGCTCGCATAATGCGAGAAAACCGCTCGTGTAGTCTTGAACCGACCCGAGCTGCCGCCAAGTACGCAGTCTCTGACGCGCCGAAATAGAAGCCGCGATTGGCTCGAAGCGCGCCCAAAGCCCTGCGCACCACACATCCCATGTGCTGTACTGGGCGGTTTCGCAGAATGAACTCCAGGTGACAGCTGGACCCGTGGGCCCTTCCTCTTGCGACGGTGGCTCGTAGGCGCGTGGCGACGTCACGATGACTCGCCACCAGTCCATGGCGGGGCCAGGGCTCTCGTTATCAGACCATTTTGGTCTGATGGTCTGATTTTCAGACTCATTTTTTTATATCCATATGATTTTCCAATCTAGATCAGACAAAACAATTGTTTTGCCTGGCGGACCCGTCTGACAGAATCAGACGCCCTCAGATCCTAGCAAAAGCTTTGGGCGGGGCCCCTCAGCAGAGAGACGGCATATCGGATCTTCGCTGCATCTGACTCGACGTAGTTTGCGTCGAAAAATACGTTCATCGTGAATGTTGATAAACTAGCGAGAATTTGGCTTAGGAGCCATAGTAGCTTAGGAGTGAGTTCGAGTTTTAGGGTGTAAGTGAAATGTCGAGAGAATTGTGGAAGGAGAATGTTGAAACTAGAAAGGAGGGGGATACAAGTAGTAAGCCCTAAAAGGGTTATACTCACTTTTGAGTACCCCACTACAGACTAGACATGCATTATAATCTGACACACCCCCATAGTCAAAGTGGGGTATAATCAGTACAGCATGCAGGCATAGAGCTATAGTTCACAATAGGTAAGTAAGGCTAGAGCTAATCACAGTGGGCAAGTGAGGAGGAGGAGAGACTGTGGGGAAGAGAAGATGGGAGGCGACTGCTGACGCTGCAGACACACGGACGAGCTGCTGGCTCAGTGGCTACCGAAGCAAAGGCCCGGACTACAGGAGTAAGTGGCTCCGCGGCTAAAAGTAGCGGCAGACGAGCAACTGACCCACAGGCGACTGGCGACTACCGGAGATTGTAGCCTCCGGACTGCAGGTGCTGCTGACGACAAGACTGCTGCCTCCACTCAACCTCCCCCAGCTGCCCAACGCCCCTCTCACACACCCTCTGATCAAACCCTAGCCATACACCCACAGCACCCTCTTAAACCCTAAACCCCAGACTCCCACACATCCACCCCCCTCAGCGATAGCTGTAGCAGTGGGAGACGAAGGAGGAGGAGGAGGAGGGGACGGCACGCACAACCGACACCCCCACAACCATCACCCCCACACCCACCCCCCCACGGCTGCACCGGGTCCAGGAGCGGCTGTTGCAGGGGCCAGGGGTGGCTGCTGCTGGGGCGGCTGCTCCAGGGGCTGCAGCTGCTGGGGCGGCTGCTCCAGGGGCTGCTGCTGCTGCTGGGGCAGCTGCTCCAGGGGCTGCTGCTGCTGGGGCGGCTGCTCCAGGGGCTGCTGCTGCTGCTGGGGCGGCTGCTACAGGGGCTGCTGCTACTGGGGCGGCTGCTCCAGGGGCTGCTGCTGCTGGAGCGGCTGCTCCAGGGGGTGCTGCTGCTGGGGCGGCTGCTCCAGGTGCTGCTGCTGCTGGGGCGGCTGCTCCAGGGGCTGCTGCTGCAGTGGAAATTAGGAGGGAGGGGAGGGGAAGGGCGCGGCCCCCAGGGTGCCCTGACGGGCGACGTGCTAGGGAGCCGCGCAGGCCCCCGAAAGTGCCTCGACGGGCGAGCGAAGGGGACCGCGCGCAGGCCCCTAAGGCGCCGTGACGAGGCAACGGGAGGGGCCGGCTCGCGGGCCCCGAAAGTGCCGCGACGAGGCGACGGGAGGGGCCTGCGTGCGGGCCCCCAAAACGCCACGACGAGGCGACGGTCGGGGCCAGTGCGCGGGCCCCCAAGACGCCGCGACGAGGTAGGAACCCGCCGCGCGCCTCGGGGCGCACGGCGGGCAGAAAACCGCCACGCGTTCCGAGCGCGTGGCGGGAAGAAAAATAGAATGTCGCGCGCCACGGGGCGCGCGACACACAGTAGGGCAGCGGAAGCAAGTGGGCCCACAGGCCAAGAGCTTTAAGCTCTGATAGCATGCTGATAAACTAGCGAGAATTTGGCTTAGGAGCCATAGTAGCTTAGGAGTGAGTTCGAGTTTTAGGGTGTAAGTGAAATGTCGAGAGAATTGTGGAAGGAGAATGTTGAAACTAGAAAGGAGGGGGATACAAGTAGTAAGCCATAAAAGGGTTATACTCACTTTTGAGTACCCCACTACAAACTAGACATGCATTATAATCTGACAGTGAAGACCTACGATTGAACCGTCGGACCTCCACGCTGGCTTGGGTCGAAACAGGGCGGGCGCTGCGGCTTGAGTGGCATTGGTGCCATGATGGCCTGGTCGCCAATTGTCGCCGCGAACTCCACGTGCCGACAGGCTTCACGAGGCTCCCGTGGGCTTGGCGCGACCCTGTTTCTCCCCATGCCCGGCATCTGTTGGGCGGCGCCATCACTGGCTGCGCCTGAGCGCTGTCCCACGCTGTCGTTCTGTGTAGGTGTGTCTGATGAAATTATGATCGGCTCCTCCGATTGTGCAGGTGCATTTGCAGGTGTATTCACCGTGGATTGCTGACAGGCGGAGTCACGTTCCGCCGTGAGCGTCGCAATTTCGAGCGCCGATTCTTCAACTTGGCGCACGAGACGGTCGAGTTGCTCCTGCGTCAGTGTCGCGAGAGTAAATTCGGCCATGGCGGGGGTGTCGGGCAAGCTCAGCGAGAGCCTCTGTCGTGGCCGTGCGTGCTTACGAGAGAGCACTACGAGCGGCGGTGCTGTGTCGCTGAGAGACGTCTACCCCCCCCCAAAAATTGAGATAGTGGGGAAGCGAAGGTGTGGGTGCGGTCCGAGAAGAGATCGTAGGCTCTGAATACGAAGTGTTACGAGTACAATTGAGTGATCGAGCGAGAATTGCACTATCGAAGCAAGAGTACAATGAGCGAAGGCATGAGCGAAGAATATATAGCGAAACTACAGTGGTAACGGTAATGGACTGTGGTTGTCGCGCGATGGGCCTGGGACTGAGGCTTGGGGAAATGTCGAAGCGGAGGCCCAGAGGGCGGGTTACCCGCCGAGCTGTGAGGTTGGGGTGTGAGGTGTGAAGGTGGCGGGAGGATTGTCGATGCGAGGGTTGCGAGTGGTAACGGTGCTGACTGTGGTGCTACAGTGGTGTACACGCTGAGCGGGGACGCGAAGTAAGGAAAAGGAATTTTCCTTACATCACTCAACCAGGTCAGCGAAAATACTAATGGTCATAAAATTATCTCATGACGTTGTTTCCACACGCAATCACATTTACCATACAGTCCCACCCAGTACAGCAAATTAGACTGAAAAGCATAGCACATCATGCATACCGTAAGCCCCCGGATAGAAGCGCAGGCCTCGGATAAGCGCCGGCGCTTATAAAAGGATGAGGGCGCTTATATCCGGTCCTCGATTATAAGCGCACCCCTAAAGGCTTACGGATTATAAGCGCCACCCTCTGAATTATTTTTTAATATTTTTACTGGAAACGCTGTAACGAAACACAATTTTTGCATCCCAACATTCAGAAATTCGAATCCCTTCACCATCGCGCGACTCAATGCCAATTTACGCGAGATTCACATTCCAGCCCCCTAGAATATCGATTCGATTCAAATCGCAAGGACGAGATGAACACTTTGGTGTAAAAAAACTAGATTTCATATATGTCATTTTATAAGCCCCGGCGCTTATAAAAATCCTCAATTATAAGCCCACCCCCTAAAAAACAGTGTTTTTTTATAACCCCAGGGGCGCTTCTATCCGGGGGCTGACGGTATGAGAAAAGGGAACAAGTTGCTTCCCTTAAATAATGACTGGAAAAGAGCCTGATAGAGCATGTGCTCATGGGTTAATTAACGAAGTTACAATTGTTTTACTCCAGTTGGCTGCATCATGCTGCAATGCCAGTCCATGTTGCAATCATTGCACTGTCCATGATCTCTTGAGCCTCTTCGTCAGTCTGCCATGCCAACCAAGTGATTCACAAGACACACCACAAGGAGCACATGGTTTAACAATAACACGATTGCACGGTATATACATCTTTACACACACATTAAATGCACACATTGTACGGTATACACATCTTTATATGTACATGCACACATACCGGTACGCATGCACCCAGACACGCTCTCACTCCGACTGACTCACAACAAAGCAGATAAAACCCCAAATCGTCACACCCCTTCTCCTTCCACCCATACCCCTCATCCCACCACCCTCACCTCGCACTGTTCTCGGACAGAAGCAGCATCAGGAAGGCTCCACCCCCACAGCCGCTCACTCACCCTCACCGCACGCATTCTCAGCTGCCCCTGCTGTCCCCCCCACTGCCCCCACTGCGCCTGCGGCCCCCCCTGCTGCCAGCCAAAGCGCTTGTGAGCATAGAGCAGGAGGCGGGCTATGTATCGAGCATTGTCCCTCCGCCTGGGCCACCGCCAATAGATGTGCGCCGCCATGCGCGCTGCAACGGCCAGGATTAGATCCCCGATGTCCTTCTCGCGCGGATCGACGGTGGAGATCAGGCGCTCGATCCAGGCCCAGGCGGAGGCGAGGGAGGAGGGAGAGCGGTGGAGGGAGGGGCTGAGGGGGGAAGGGGAGGAGGAGGAGGAGGAGGAGGAGGAGGAGGAGGAGGAGGAGGAGGAGGAGGAGGAGGAGGAGGAGGAGGAGGAGGAGGAGGAGGAGGAGGTAGTGGTGGTACTGATGGGTGCAGAGGGGTTGGGTGCAGAGGGGGCTGCATGCGGTTGCTTGTTGGAGGAGGAACGGGAGAAGGATGCTGAGGAGGTGGAGGAGGAGGAGGTGGAGGAGGAGGAGGTGGAAGCCGAGGTGGGGAAAAGCGAGTGGGAGACGGAGCAAGGCGAGACGGCTCTAGGGGTGGACTCGAGGTAAATGGGGCCGGGCGAGGTGAGGGTGATGAGCAGCCCTTCTAGGCCCCAGTCGAACACCTCCAGCATCTGCTGCTCCGGGATAGCTCCATCCGGCGTCACTGCCTGTAAGAGGAGAGAGAGGGGTGGAGGAAGGGAGACAGGAATGATGTGAGGGTGGTGAGCGTGATGAGCAGCCGTTCCAGCCCCCAGTCGAACACCTCTAACACCTGCTGCTCTGGGATGGCCCCATCTGGTGTCACTGCCTGTGGGGTGGGAGGGAAATGACGGAGAGGGAGAAGACGGATTGTGGGGGGGATGGGGCTAGCATCTGCTGCTCTGGTATGGCCCCGTCTGGCGTCACTGCCTGCAGAGGTGACAAGGAGAGAAGGGCGGGGGAGAAAGCGGAGAGGGAGAGAAGGGAAAGAGAGGATAAGGATTGTGAGGGGGTCAGCGAGAGGTGAGTATGAAAAATGGTGTCACTGTGGGAAGTTGGTTTCTGAGAATTCTCAAGAGCCAGCGAGTTCTCAAGAGCCAGCGAGTTCTCAAGAGCCAGCGAGTTCTCAAGAGCCAGCGAGTTCTCAAGAGCCAGTGAGTTCTCAAGAGCCAGCGAGTTCTCAAGAGCCAGCGAGTTCTCAAGAGCCAGCGAGTTCTCAAGAGCCAGCGAGTTCTCAAGAGCCAGCGAGTTCTCAAGAGCCAGCGAGTTCTCAAGAGCCAGCGAGTTCTCAAGAGCCAGCGAGTTCTCAAGAGCCAGCGAGTTCTCAAGAGCCAGCGAGTTCTCAAGAGCCAGCGTGTCTCCAGCCCCCAGTCGAGCACCTCTAGCACCTGCTGCTCTGGAATGGTTCCCTGTCAATGCCTGGAGGGTGGGAGGAGGGAGGGAACACAGAGGGAGACACGGGATTGCGAGGGGTCCTGGGAAAGGTGAGCGTTACAAATGTGGTGCCCCCAGAGAGCACCACAGAGAGCACCACAGAGAGCACCACAGAGAGCACCACAGAGAGCACCACAGAGAGCACCACAGAGAGCACCACAGAGAGCACCACAGAGAGCACCACAGAGAGCACCACAGAGAGCACCACAGAGAGCACCACAGAGAGCACTTCACAAATCTGCTGCTCTGGATGGTCCCGTCTGGGGTCACAGCCTGCAGGGTGGGAGGGAAGGAGTCGGACAAGGAGGGGGCTGGGCGCGGTGGGAGTTTCGTGGGTGTGAGTGTGAGCCACCCACTTCCCATAGGCCAATCCACCCACTTCCCATAGGCCAATCCACCCACTTCCCATAGGCCAATCCACCCACTTCCCATAGGCCAATCCACCCACTTCCCATAGGCCAATCCACCCACTTCCCATAGGCCAATCCACCCACTTCCCATAGGCCAATCCACCCACTTCCCATAGGCCAATCCACCCACTTCCCATAGGCCAATCCACCCACTTCCCATAGGCCAATCCACCCACTTCCCATAGGCCAATCCACCCACTTCCCATAGGCCAATCCACCCACTTCCCATAGGCCAATCCACCCACTTCCCATAGGCCAATCCACCCACTTCCCATAGGCCAATCCACCCACTTCCCATAGGCCAATCCACCCACTTCCCATAGGCCAATCCACCCACTTCCCATAGGCCAATCCACCCACTTCCCATAGGCCAATCCACCCACTTCCCATAGGCCAATCCACCCACTTCCCATAGGCCAATCCACCCACTTCCCATAGGCCAATCCACCCACTTCCCATAGGCCAATCCACCCACTTCCCATAGGCCAATCCACCCACTTCCCATAGGCCAATCCACCCACTTCCCATAGGCCAATCCACCCACTTCCCATAGGCCAATCCACCCACTTCCCATAGGCCAATCCACCCACTTCCCATAGGCCAATCCACCCACTTCCCATAGGCCAATCCACCCACTTCCCATAGGCCAATCCACCCACTTCCCATAGGCCAATCCACCCACTTCCCATAGGCCAATCCACCCACTTCCCATAGGCCAATCCTCTTTAAAAAGGAAAGTCTCACCTTGAACGTCCCTTTGACCGCTTTCCCCCACATGACAGGCAGAGCCTTGTGAGCCAACACGCTCTGCTTCTCCAGAAGCCAAGCACAACCACTCACACAGCCAGTCGTGTCTCAAAACAGATCTCACCTTGAAGATTCCAAGTTGTTTCAGAACAAGCCTTACCTTGAACGTCCCTTTGACTGCCTTCCCCCACATGACAGGCAGAGCCTTATGTGCCAGTGCGCTTTCCCTCTCCAGCAGCCCTCCCACCGCCTTCCACTGCGCCCACCCCACCTCCACGCCTGGGAAGCTCACTTCCGCCGCCCACCGAACCAGCGCCGCCTCCCGAACCTGCCGCTGCCGAGCCTCCTGATCAGCCTCGGCCGGTTTGCCGTCCGGGCCTTCTGCCACTGCCGAGCCTAGCGGGGAGGGTCGGGGAGTGATGCGGCCGTTTTGGGTGTGCAGGGAGAAAGGTGGAGGGCGGGATGAGGTGGACGTGGTGGCAGTAGCGGTGGAAGAGGCGAGAGAGGTGGAGGTGCGAGTGGTAGAGGCTGAAGAGGAGGACGAGGAGGATTTTGGGAAAATGGTGAAGGGCGGGAGGGACGGCAGTAGTTGTTGGGGAGAGGAGGATTCGCGTGAATGTATGGTGGAGGTTTTAGCGAATGAGAAGCTCGCCTCGCCTTGCTCCTCCTCCTCCTCTTCCTCCTCCTCATCTTGCTTTTCCTCCCCCTCCTCCTCACTCCCCTCCTCGCACACCTCTCCATAAATCCTCTCCCCCTCACTCCCCTCCTCACTCTTCTTGTCAACCCTACTGCCCGCCTCCTCTCCTTCCAAAACCACATGCAGAGCCCCCGGCGCACTCACCGCATTCAGAGCCCGCGGCGCACTCACCGCTCGCTGCCCATGCAAAGCCACATCTGCACCTCCTTCCTTCACCCCCTCTTCACATCCCCCTCTTCCTTCAGCCCCTGCACCCACAGCCCCTGCACCCACAGCCCCTGCACCCACAGCCCCTGCACCCACAGCCCCTGCACCCACAGCCCCTGCACCCACAGCCCCTGCACCCACAGCCCTTGCATCCACAGCCCCTGCACCCACAGCCCTTGCATCCACAGCCCCCTGTCCTTCCCGAACCTCCTTCACACCCTCCTCCTCCACACCGCCTTCATCCTCACCCCCTCGCTCCAGCACCGCCTTGAGAGCGCTTTCCTTAGTTGTGAAGAAGCTCGCAATCGCCCGCCCCTCGCCCGTCTCTTCTGCCCTGCTGCCCCCATCGCCCAATCTCATACTCTTGCTGCGGAACGACCTATGAGTCGGCTCAAGCTCAAACGTCTCCCCTGTCTCTCCTGCCCGGCTGCCATCGCACTGCCGCACACTCTTGTTGCCATCACCCGATTGCACACTCTTGCTGCGGAACGGCCGCACGCTCTTCCCATCGCGCTGCACTGCACTGCTCCCATAGTACTGCCCGGCATAGATGATCACGTTCTCGCCGTCACCGTCGCTTTCATTCCCCTCTTCCTCTCTACCTGTCGCCCTCTCGCTGTCCCGCTCAACCTCCCCCTTCCTCCCCTCCTCCCCTTTCTCTTCGTCCCCCTTCCCTTCTGTTCCGTTCGCTTTCCCCTCCTCCCCTTTCCCCTCCGCCCCTTTCCCCTCTGCCCATTCCCCCTCCGCCCCCTTCCCTTCCACACCGTCCGCCCCTTTCTCCTCCTTCCCCTCCCCATCCCCGTCCCTTTCCCCTTCCCCATCCCCCTCCCCCTCCCCTTCCCCTTCCACCTCCATTCGTTCCCCCTCGGCCCCTTTCCCCTCTCCCCCTTCCCCCTCGGTCCCTCCCCTCTCCACCCCCTCCTCCCCTTTCTCCTCCTTTTTCTCCTCCCCATCCCCCTCCTCCTCCCCCTCTTCTTCCACCACCAGCAGCGGCTCAATGGCCAGTCTGAGCACGAACCGCGCGCATAGGGCGCTCATCTCGCCCGCGCGCTCCTGCTCCTCGCGAGACGGTGGTGCCCCGAACACGCGACTCAGCTGCAGAAACCCGTTGGCCAGCTCGTATGCCCACGGGTAGCTCACTCCCCTCCTCGCTGCTCCCCCTGCTCCTACCGCTGTTGCTGTCCCCCCTGCTGCTGCCTCTCCTCCTGCTCTTAGTACTCCTCCTCCTGCTGCTCCTCCTCCTCCTGCTGCTCCTCCTCCTCCTGCTGCTCCTCCAGACCCCAAGCCCCCTCCCACTCCCATTCCTGTCCCTCCTCTTCCCCCGCCTATGCCACCCCACTCCCTGCCACACCCCAGCGCTCTGCTCCTCGCCTCAGCAGCAGCACTGGCAGCAGCAGCCGCCCGCAGAGGCTCCAAAAACGCCGCCCCGAACGCCATCGCATACTGCCACCGCACGCCGCCCGACGGCGCGTGCGTCAGTCCGAAATGCGCCGCCCCGAGCAGCCGGTGGATCCGCTGCGGCACGGGCTCCGTCCCATTAGGCACCATCGCCGCCCGGACCGTATCCGCTACAGTATCCAAATCATCATAAGCGACAGCGGCGGCCCTAAGAGAGATTCTTATAGCCGCCTCCATACACCCCATCTCGTCTGCTCTATCGGCTAAAAGCCACAGGTCCTCCTGGGTCAAATGGGGTAGTTCCGCAACTTCCCCGGCCAAAACGAGGGCGAGAATCCCGGGGCCGAGCGCGTGCGTGGTGAGAAGCGAGTCCAGCTGGCGAAGACGGTGCGAGTAGGAAGTGGACTGGTTGGTGGTGGGGGCGTTGGTAGGGGCGTTGGAAGGACCATGGGGAGAGGTGTTGGGAGGGGTGGGAGCTAGGCTGGTCCTGCCAGCCGTGGTGCTGGGAGGGGCGTGGAGAATGGATCGAACGAGTGCCAGCTCTGCCAGCTCTGTGAGTCGCGTGGGACCAAAGAACCCTGCAGCAGAGACAGATGCAGAGGATGCTAACTCCCCTCCAGCACCACCAGCACCACCAGCACCACCAGCACCAGTGGCGGCTCCAGCAGTGGCGCGGCGCATGGGAGCAGGAGCATTAGAGATGGACATGCTTCCTGCCCGACCCACACCCGAGCCTATCGTCCCATGCCTCCTCCACAGCCTCGACAGATCCCCCATGCCGCCCTCCTCCTCCGCACCGTCCCCTCCTGCCCCCCGCTCGTCCCCCAGGAACAAGGCACCGATCTTGTTGCGGAAGCCAATGGACGGCTGCCGCTGGAAAGGCGACGCACCCCCCTGCCACGACGGCTGGCGCTGAAACAACGCACTGTCTCCCCCACCGCCACCCCAGGACGGCTGACGGTACAGCGAGGAACGGCCACCAGCAGCAGTGGCAGTGGCAGCAGCAGGCTTGCCGGAGGCCCAGGAAGGCTGGCGCTGGAAGAGAGCCGGGTTGACTCCGTTGAGCAGTGGTGAGGTACTGCTGCTGCCGCCACCTGCTGTGCTGCTTCTCGTGCCCTTGCCACCTGACACACTCCCTGCTGCACTCTCCTCGTCTTCCCGGAACCCCTTTATCACTGTCACACTCCCTGTAGGCGTCGCCACTCCCCCATACCCCCCCATCCCGTACCCCTCCAGTCCATAACCTTCCATCCCAGCAACCACCCCGTTGACCCCCCCCATTCCTTCTAGATACGCGCTGGCAGTGGGGGGTTGTAGTCTTAACCGGCATTTAAGAGCCAAGGCGTCTACTAAGTCTAGCAGGCACTGCAGCACGAACATGCGGCACTCCCGAGCCTCCATCTCTCGTTCTACAGCTTCCCGAGCCTCCGCCGCAGCTTCGGAATCCGCACCATCGTCATCATCATCAGCAACAGCATCAGCACCGTTGTCACTGATTCTCACTCCCTCTCTCCCTTCCTCCTCCTCCTCTTCATCCTCCTCCTCGTCCCCCAACAACCCTCCTCTCCCTCCCACACTACCCACTCCACCATCCCACCCCCCTCCTCCTCCTCTTGTCCCTCCTGCTGCTGCTGCCGCTGCCGCCCTCGCAGCCGCTGCCGCCGCTGCTGCTCCCCCTCCTCTCCGTCTCCCCCTCCCCCTCCCTCGTCTCACCCACTCCCCCGCCTCCCGCTCCTCCCTGCAAAGCCGATCCAACAACCTCAGCACACACACAGCAGCACTCACAGGCAGACAATTAGACGCTGCTGCTGCCAACCCCAGCACCCGCACCACATCAGTGTGTTGCAGCGGAGGGGGCGGGGGAGGAGGGGAGGGAGTGGGGGTACCTGCAGGACTGCTGCTGGCCGAGTGGTGGGCGGAGTGAGAGGAGGAGTGAGGGAAGGAGTGAGGGTGGGAGAGGGGGTGGGAGTGGGAGTAGGAGAAGGAGCTACTTCTGAGCCGTTTCAGGATGTCAACTGAAGGGTTGTAGCTGCTACAGCCGAGCCCGCTGCCTATCCCCACCTCCCCCATGCTACTGTAGCCACCAAACCCGCTGCTGAGGCTATTCCCAAACCCAACCCCGAGGCTGTTCCCGAAGCTGTTGCCCGCGCCTCCACCGAAGCTGCTGCTCCTGCTGAAGCTCCCTCCGGTGCTGCTGCCGACGCTGCTGCTTCGGAACCCAAACGCACCCCCACCACCACTCCCACCAACACCGCCCCTACCAGCACCACCGCCCCCAGATAACACCTCCCCCCATGCGCCCTGCTTGCCGCCCAGAGCGCCCTGCCGCCCATCCAGCAGATCCGCCAAAAGCTGCTCCTGCAGTTGCCGCCCGGCCTCCGCCCGCAGGTCGCCCTCTACCTCTGCCACGTGCACGCCACACGCCCCCCCGTGGGGGGCACACGCCGAGAACGGCGTGCCGCTGCTGCCGCTCGCGCTGTAGCTGCCGCTGTACTCGTTACAAGATCCGAACACGTTAAAAGCACTGCACTCGTTATAAGCGCCGTACTCGTTGAGATTGTAGTACGTGCTTTCATCGCTCGACCCATTGCTGCCCGAGCTCCAGCTGTCCTCGTTACAGAGTGCTCTGTTAGGAAGCTTTTCAAAATCAAACCTTACAGTGTCACTAGAGAAATCCTCGTCATAGAGGGACTCATTCCAGTGGTTGGCAGTGGCAGCTACAGTGTCTAGTTCTGGGCCGGAACACTCACTAACAGACAACCGTGCATCTGAACCAACTCCCGCCACTCCATGTCCTGCCTTGTGTCGTCGTTTCTTCTGCCAAAGCCTCTTGTGCCGTCCCTCCCTCTTCCCTTCCCTCTCCCTCACCTCCCCATTCCTCCCCCCACCTTCCTGATAATCAGCGCCAGAACCCTCCACGAAGCTTCCAGAATCCTGCCCGTGTTCCCCCCTTCCTCCCCTTCCTCCCCGTCTGCCCCTTCTCCCCCTCCCCTCCCCCCTCCCACTAGTCAAATCGATACTCTCCATCCCCCCCTCCGCCTCCCCTCTTCCCCCTTTATCCCCCTCCTCATCCCCCAGGTCAACTGAGAAAAACGTCCCTTCTTCCAAGGGTTTCTTGCAACTTAACCCATCCAACTGCACTTCCAGCACGGAATTACCCCCTAGAACCCTCTCCTTCCCCTCTTTGCCCAAAACTCCCCCATCCTTCCCCGCACCTCCCCCTTTCCCCCCTTCTTTCCGCCTCATCCTCTCCCTCCGCTTCTTCAGACTCCGCAGCCCCCCTTCCGCGCCCTTCCGCCCCCACTGCCCGGCCCCCCTCCCCAGCTTCCCCCCCTGCCCCGCCGAGCCTAATCCCGAGCCTAGCGCCGAGGCTGCAGCTTCGGCGCCGTGGCTGGCAGGTTTGGCCCATTGCTTCCAGAATTCGACCCACATCGCCAGCCCCACCACGAACACTTCTTCCACTTTCGCAGCCTCCAGCCCCAGATGCCCCTGCGAAGCTGTGCGACTTTCGCCAGGCTTAGCGCGCGCCTCTGATTGGCTGCTTCCCACGTGCCTGTGCGACAGCGCCTGCCCCAGCGACAGCGAGCGACTGTGCCCAAGTTTCGGGGCTTTCTGCGACGAGCTTCGGGGGAACGGGTGAGGCGGGGGGACCGAACCTGCGTCCCCGATTCGGGAGCTCGCCGGGCCAAACCCGGACCTAGTGCTGGTGCTTCGGGTAAAACGTTGACTAATACTCCCGATCCCCGCAATGCTCCGCCCGCTTCTTCCGCCCACTCCCCCAGCGCCTCCCCCTCCGCCCCCCGCGCCGTTAATTGCGCTGCTCACCTCCTTATTCCCCGCCGCCATCGCAGAAGCTTCCGCGATCTTGCTCACCAGCCAGTCGTACTCCGCGCGCGCCAGCTGCCGCATCGCGCCTTCCAGCTGCTCCAGCGCCTCGCGCGTCGCCGCCTCCCGCGCGCGCGCCACGGGCGCCGCCACGAGCCGCCGGCTGGACAGCCGCTTCAGCGGATGCAGCGCCGGCTGCTGCTGCTGCGACGCGACGAATTCACTCGCAACTGCGCGTGACGCACTTGCAGCGGCTGCGGCGGCTGTAGGAACCCCTTCCCCCCCAGCTGCAGCTACTGCAGATTTGGCGGAAAGTTCCCCATTAGTGGGGGAGGAGGGGGACGAACGCCGTCCGGGGAGTTCTGGCGCATCCGCCGCGGTCGCGGAATGCGCCTGGTGGGCGCCGCCGCCGCCTCCTCCGCCGCCATCGCGGCCGCCTTCGCCGCTTCCGCCGCCAGCGGTAGCGGGAGCGCCAAGGAAGATGGCTTCTATGGAGTCCGGATCGCGGTAGTTGGCATCCGTGGCGCCTACTATTTTCTCGACGTACTGAGTTAAGAGGCCCGACACGGCGTCGTGCACGCAGTCGCTGTCGGAGAAGACCGCGCGCACGACGTCCAGATGCCACGCGCGCGGAGTGGTCAGGCGCGGGGAGGGGATCGCGGCGGAAGGGGAGGGCGGAAAGAGCGGCGGAGGGAAGTTGTAGCGGCCGACGGGCGAGGTGGGGGGCGAGTGTGGCCTTTCGAACGTGGAATTCGCCTGCCCCATGATGGTATCAAGAGTGGTCCTCCTGTAACGGGGATGTGGTGTACTAGCAGGGCGTACGCATGATTCATGCGGTTCGCAACGGTTCTGGTGTTTGTGGGAACACTATCGTGTAGAAAGTTCAAGGGGTAAGATTCGCTGAGCTGCGATGATCCTACGCGCACTATGTGCCCTATGCCGTGCGCTGCACGCGAAATTTAGGTAATGTCCCAACCTGCGATCAGTCGCCATGACTCGGGGTTATTAATCGCCATGTATTGATATTGCCACGACATACGGGTTCAAGAGGCGAGTCCATACAGACGGGACTGAGATATCTTCTAGCAGATGAAGGAACGGGATTCTCGCAGGGACGCAGGCTACTAAGCAGAACGAAGGAGTGGCGATGCGGCACGCGACGGAAACGAGGGGACGAAGACGGAACAGAACATGCGTAGGAGCAGTGCTGGAAAAACGTCGAGTGGGAAAACAGTAGAAAAAATGCGGCAGGGGGAGGCTGAAGTATGATACATCTGTGTCGTCAATCTCTTGTTTTCACAAAATATGGACGGACAAGATTGACGGAAGATTCTGGTTCCCTGCAACATGGGGTGATGGAAGTGTTTCGAGGGAGCGAACAGCGCTCTGGTCGACAGGTTTGGGGAAATGTGTCTGGCTCGGTTCAGGCGGGAAAGCGGGTGATTCGTGTGGCGTATAACGATTGGCTTCCGTCATTACTGGCTGCTTCGAGGTCACCGAAGCTAGGATAATGTGGTTCGGGTTTTGCTTGTTCTGGCCTGGCCTACGCGGTCAGGTTGAAAGAGGGCTCGCTTCGCTGGTTCATCATCAGCCGAGCCGAGTCGACGTGGAAGTGTGGCGAGCAACAGGCCAACTCTGGCCGCAGCAAATGCACGTGCTGGCCTATGGTCGATTCATGTCAGCACAGATTCGATTCACCCCCCCAAGCCAACACGCGACGCGACCACCTGCTCAGCAAAACGTGTTCTGCGATACAGAGATATGCGATTGAAGTTTCTGGTCCGTCCAGCAATCTAAGGTACACGAATATTCTGTAAGTTAACTGTTATCGTAACAACGTGCATCTCTGCAACACGAAATCACAAGGCACACACCACTTATGACCTAGATTTAATTGTCCCAGCCGTAACGCACTAGCGCCCACACCAAAGCGCGGCCGTCATCTCGCTCTAATTCTCTTTCCGCGCCTCCACAGCCTGGATTCCGATCTCCACCCCCACGCCGTTCGATCGTCGTCGCACACACCCTAGGGACTCCCTGGCTTGTTGCCGCTCCCCGCAATTCCTCTCACTCCCGCTCCACCCAGCACCTCGGTGCTCCACTCTCAGTATCATCACACTCCCCTTTTCATCATCTCGCTCGATACAGTAACAAACGTTACCATGAACAAGGCGACGATTCTGGAGCTGGCGAAGGGGTTCCGCGGGCGCGCGAAGAACTGCATCCGCGCCGCGAAGCCGCGCGTGGAGAAGGCGCTGACGTACGCGTACCGCGACCGGCGCACGAAGAAGCGCGACATGCGCGGGCTGGCCATCGAACGCGTCAACGCGGGCGCGCGGCAATACGGGGTGCGTGACAGTACGGGGAGTGTGACAGTACGGGGTGAGCTGCTGTTGAGTCAGGCGGCGATACAGGGTGAGAATGAGTGAGAGGGCGGGGGATGGGTGGGGAGATGCAGCGCACATCGTGAGTTAACGCGGGCGCGTGCGGCAGTACCGGGTATGCGAACGACAGATGGACCCGAGATGATAGCTCAAGCGCTTTTTTCCATGCTACGAAGCCCACCCCCTCATTGTATTCACAACGTTGCCTCAAGTGATCCTACACACTCCTCCATCCAGCACCGCACAGCACCGCACGCATGGGTCAAACACGCACCTATCGTACTACATTCCCTTCCCCCTTTACATGACCTGTTTTCCCGCAGCTACCTTCATCTCCCCAGTTCCCCAGCCCTCACGACACCCTCCCCTTCCTTTTCCCTCCGACACTTCTCCCTCCCTCTCCTGCTGTCCAACCAACCCCCCGTCTCCCATATCCCCACCCCGCCCCCCCTCCTCCCCGCCTTTCCTGTTCCTCTCCCTCCCCCACCACCCCCAATCCATCCTCGATACAAGCAGGTGCGGTACAGTGAGATGGTGCACGGCATGCAGCAGGCCAACGTGCAGCTCAACCGCAAGGTGCTCTCAGAGATAGCCGCCTCCGAGCCCTTCACCTTCCGGGCCCTCGTTGACCTCGCCCGCCAAACCCTCAACATCCAACGGCCACAAATCCCCATGTGATGTTAGATCAACGGCTGATATGCATGGATTTATGCGTGACTCTCTATCATCCACCATTCACTCTCCTCACCAGCCTCTAAGCCCTTCACCTTCCGCTCTTCTCTCCAGGACCTCGCCCAGCAAACCTTAAACCTGAAACCCTAAACCTTGAATACTAGTCGACCACAAATTCACATGTGACGCTCCATCAACGGCCGAAACCGCATGGCGTGAGATTTGTTATCATCGCAGCATCCCTTCATCTTCCATGCTGCTCTAGTGGACACAATTGCCCTTCAAATCAACGGCTGCAACTGCCCGTGCGCCTCACTCGCTCTCTAGTACCAGCATCCATCTAAACCTCACGTTGCTGTCAAGACAGCAGCATTTGATCTGAGCCCTTTATTGGGCGTGCCTGGATTAGGGCTACAATAGATTCGGGTACCAATAGAGGGACATTGCAATGACTACAGTTCAAGTTTAAGATAGAAAATGAGGAGGAAATATATTCCAAATTGTTGCAATTACTCTGGTGGGAGTGCAGTTAAACAAAAATGTATTCAGCGCTCTCTCATTCTCCCGTTTTCCATCACCCTGCCCCATTCTCCCGCTTTCGTTCATCCCGCCCCATTCTCCCTCCTTCCATCACCCCGCCCCATTCTCCCGCTTTTCATCACCCCGCCCCATTCTCCCGCTTTTCATCACCCCGCCCCATTCTCCTGCTTTCCATCACCCCGCCCGATTCTCCCGGTTTCCATCACCCTGCCCCATTCTCCCTCTTTCCATCATCCTGTCCCATTCTCCCTCCTTCCATCACCCCGCCCCATTCTACCGCTTTCCATCACCCCATCCCATTATCCCGTTTTCCATCACCCCGCCCCATTCTCCCGCTTTCCATCACCCCGCCCCATTCTCCGACTTTCCATCACCCCGCCCCATTCTCCCGCTTTCCTTCACCCCGCCCCATTTTCCTGTTTTCCATCACCCCGCCCCATTCTCCCGTTTTCTATCACCCCGCCCCATTCTCCTTCCTTCCATTACCCCGCCCCATTCTCCCTCCTTCCATCACCCCGCCCCATTCTCCCGCTTTCCATCACCCCGCCCCATTCACCCGGTTTCCATCACCCCGCCCCATTCTCCCGCTTTCCTTCACCCCGCCCCATTTTCCCGTTTTCCATCACCCCGCGCCATTCTCCCGTTTTCTATCACCCCACCCCATTCTCCCTCCTTCCATTACCCCGCCCCATTCTCCCTCCTTCCATCACCCCGCCCCATTCTCCCGCTTTCCATCACCCCGCCCCATTCACCCGGTTTCCATCACCCTGCCCCATTCTCCCGCTTTCCATCACCCCACCCCATTCTCCCGTTTTCTTTCACCCCGCCCCATTCTCCCTCTTTCCATCACCCCGCCCCATTCTCCCGCTTTCCATCACCCCGCCCCATTCACCCGGTTTCCATCACCCTGCCCCATTCTCCCGTTTTCCATCACCCCGCCCCATTCTCCCGCTTTTCATCACCCCACCCCATTCTCCCGCTTTCCATCACCCCGCCCCATTCTCCCGCTTTCCTTCACCCCGCTCCATTCTCGCTCCTTCCATCACCCCGCCCCATTCTCGCTCCTTCCATCACCCCGCCCCATTCTTCCACTGTCCATCACCCCGCCTGATTCTCTCGCTTTCCAGCACCCCGCCCGATTCTCCTGCTTTCCATCACCCGCCCCATTCTCCCTCCTTCCATCACTCCGCCCCGTTCTCAATCCTTCTATCACCCCGCCCCATTCTCCTGCTTTCCATCACCCCGCCCCATTCTCCCTCATTTCATCACCCCGCCCCATTCTCCCTCCTTCCATCACCCCGCCCCATTCTCCTGCTTTCCATCACTCTGCCCCATTCTCCCGCTTTCCATCACTTTGCCCCATTCTCCCGCTTTCCATCACCCCGCCCCATTCACCCGGTTTCCATCACCCTGCCCCATTCTCCCGCTTTCCATCACCCCACCCCATTCTCCCGTTTTCTTTCACCCCGCCCCATTCTCCCTCCTTCCATCACCCCGCCCATTCTCCCGTTTTCCATCACCCCGCCCCATTCTCCCGCTTTCCATCACCCCACCCCATTCTCCCGTTTTCCATCACCCCGCCCCATTCTCCCGCTTTCCTTCACCCCGCTCCATTCTCGCTCCTTCCATCACCCCGCCCCATTCTCGCTCCTTCCATCACCCCGCTCCATTCTTCCACTGTCCATCACCCCGCCTGATTCTCTCGCTTTCCAGCACCCCGCCCGATTCTCCTGCTTTCCATCACCCGCCCCATTCTCCCTCCTTCCATCACTCCGCCCCGTTCTCAATCCTTCCATCACCCCGCCCCATTCTCCTGCTTTCCATCACCCCGCCCCATTCTCCCTCATTTCATCACCCCGCCCCATTCTCCCTCCTTCCATCACCCCGCCCCATTCTCCTGCTTTCCATCACTCTGCCCCATTCTTCCGCTTTCCATCACTCTGCCCCATTCTCCCGCTTTCCATCACCCCGCCCCATTCTCTCGATTTCCATCACCCCGCCCCATTTTCCCGATTTCTATCACCCGGCCCAATTCTCCTTCCTTCCATCACCCCACCCCATTCTCCCTCTTTCCATCAACCCGCCCCATTCTAACGCTTTCCATCAACCCGCCCCATTCTCCCGTTTTCCATCACCCCGCCCCATTCTTCCGCTTTCCGTCACCCTGCCCCATTCTCCCGTTTTCCGTCACACCGCCCCATTCTCCAGCTTTCCGTCACACCGCCCCATTCTCCAGCTTTCCATCACCCCGCCCCATTCTCCTTCCTTTCATCACCCTGCCTCATTCTCTCGTTTTCCATCACCCCGCCCCATTCTCCCGCTTTCCATCACCCAGCCCCATTCTCCCTCCTTCCATCACCCCGCCCCATTCTCCCGCTTTTTATGACCGGCCCCATTCTCCCGCTTTCCATCACCCCGCAACATTCTCCCGCTTTCCATCACCCCGCCCCAATCTCCCGCTTTCCATCACACTGCCCCATTCTCTCGCTTTCCATCACCCTGCCCCGTTCTCCCGCTTTCCATCACCCCGCCCCATTCTCTCGCTTTCCATCATCCCGCCCCATTCTCCCGCTTTCCATCACCCCGCCCCATTCTCCCTCCTTCCATCACCCCGCCCCATTCTCCCTCCTTCCATCACCCCGCCTCATTCTCCCGCTTTCCATCACCCCGCCCCATTCTCCCGCTTTCCATCACCTTGCCCCATTCTCCCGTTTTCAATCATCCCGTCCCATTCTCCCGCTTTCCATCATCCCGCCCCATTTTCCCTCTTTCCTTCACCCCGTCCCATTCTCCTGTTTTCCATCACCGCGCTTCATTCTCCCATTTTCCATCACCCCGCCCCGTTCCCCCGCTATCCATCACCCCGCCCCATTCTCCCGCTTTCCATGATTCCGCCCCATTCTCCCGCTTTCCATCACCCCGCCCCATTCTTCCTCCTTACATCGCCCCGCCCCATTCTCCCGCTTTCCATCACCTCGCCCCATTCTCCCGCTTTCCATCATCCCGCCCCATTCTCCCGTTTTCCATCACCCCGCCCCATTCTCCCGCTTTCCATCAACCCGCCCCATTCTCCCGCTTTCCATCACCACGCCCCATTCTCCCGGTTTCCATTACCCCGCCCCATTCTCCCGTTTTCCATCACCCTGCCCCATTCTCCCGTTTTCCATCACACCGCCCCATTCTCCGACTTTCCATCACCCCGCTCTTTTCTCCGTCTTTCCATCACCCCGCCCCATTCTCCCGCTTTCCATCACCCCGCCCCATTCTCCCTCCTTCCATCACCCCGCCCCATTCTCCCGCTTTCCATCACCCCGCCCCATTCTTTTGCTTTCATCACAATGCCCCATTCTCCCGTTTTTCATCACCCCGCCCCATTCTCCCGCTTTCCATCACCCAGCCCCATTCTCCCTCCTTCCATCACCCCGCCCCATTCTCCCGCTTTTCATCACCAGCCCCATTCTCCCGCTTTCCATCACCCCGAACCATTCTTGACAAAACTTGAGCTAGGCTAAGAAGCCATAGCTAGTTAGTAGGAAAGTTGAGGTCGAGTGGGTTTAGGTAAGTCGAGAAGATTTCAAGAAAGTGAGGGGTTTCACTATAGAGCGAGGAGTACAAATAGGCAAGAAGGAAAGGTGCACCACCAAACAGAACATTATATAACTACAGTAGTTGTCAGAATGAGGAATGGATGTTGCATTGATGTTGGTTGGGGTACATATGACAAACCCTAACTTCTGTACCCCCTAAGACAAACCTCACTACATGCTACAACATTTGACACACCCCCATAGCCTAAGTGAGGGGTGTCTAGCAAAAACAAAAAAGAGTACGGTCACAAGACCAGTCCAAAAGAAAACAAAGCTCAGGGTGGATCACAACGTCACCACACACTCTGAGCACAAGCAACAGTGGCCACAAGGCCAGTCCAAGAGATCACAAGTATATATAGTAAGTGTACAGACGAAGCAGGCAATAAACTCAAGTCTACGCATGACTAGAACCTGTGTCAACAAGGCCTAACTGCACACAACACCTCTGGTGGTCACAAGGCGGAAGCGCCTTGGTGAAGATGTCTGCAGTGTTGGCCTCGGACTCTACAAACTCGAAGCGAGCCTGTCCACGCCTCTGCAACTCTCGCAGAAGAAAGTACCTGACGTGAATGTGCTTCACTCTGCTCTCCAGTCGCGGCTCACGACAGAGGAGGATCGACGCCTTGTTGTCAGTAAACAAGGTCGGTGCAGAGCTCGGCCGCTCACCAAGGTCGGCGAGCAAGAAGGTCAACCACCGTAACTCCTGTGCCGCCATGGCACCAGCGTAAATCTCAGCCTCAGCTGTAGAGGTCGAGACAGAAGAGGAGCGCGTGGAACGCCAGGAAACAGCTCCAGAACCCAGACTGAAACAGTACCCCTGAGTAGACCTGTGAGTCTCAGCGTCGTCAGCGTAAGAGGAGTCACAGTGACCAGTGAGTACGACAGACTGCTGCCCTCCAAGAACTAGCCCCACGCCTGATGTAGTCGCTAGGTACTTCGCCACCCTCACAGCTGCCGTCCAGTGAACAGGACGGTGTCTCCCTGGCGCAACAAAGCGCGCAAGGATGCTGAGAGGGAAGGCGAGGTCCGGGCGAGTACAAGTCATCAGGTACATGAGGCAACCCACAAGCTCTGCGTAGGGACCACTAGGCTCAAACGGCTCGTCAGGAAAGGGACCAGTGAGTCTGTGGTCAACAGCTAGAGGTGTGCGCTGTACGGTGGAGTGCTGAAGCCCGAACCGCTGAAGGACCTGCTGCACCATGTGTGACTGTGAGAGTGTAATGGTGCGAGCGGCTCTGTCCCTGGTGATCTGCAGGCCAAGGTAGTGGCGCAGCTCACCAAGATCAATGCACGTGTGTCTCTTCTGCAGTTCAGACTTCACGTCTGCCAAAGCAACCCTGTCCGAAGTGGCGAAAACGAGGTCGTCGACGTAGACCAGAACAAAGAACGGTGTGGAGCCACGACGAACGAACAGCGACGGGTCGGCAGAAGACGGCTGGAACCCAAGGTCAGAGAGGGTAGAACGCAGAGTGTCGTGCCACTCACGAGGGGCCTGGCGAAGACCGTAAACAGGTCGCCTCAGCCTCCACTGGGTCCCAGGAGGGAAGGTGCCAGTGAAGGCCGAGGGACGACGCAACCAGACCTCCTCGTGTAGGCTGCCCTGAAGGAAAGCAGTGGAGAAGTCGAGAGAGTGTAACTCGTAGTCTCTCTGTGCTGCTACGTGTAGTAACACCCGAAGAGTGGTCATCTTCGGGGTAGGTGCGAAGGTCTGAAAGAAGTCAACTCCCTCGCGCTGACTGAAACCTCTAGCCACGTAGCGCGCCTTGAAGACCGGGGGAGATCCCGGTGGCCGCTTCACCCTGTAGATCCACATGCCGTCGACTACGTTCGCCCCAGGGGGGGGAACCTCATCGACGTAGGTGCCTGTGGATCTGTAGGAGGCCATCTCTGCGTCCATGGCAGCTCTCCACTGAGAGGCCCAAGGCCCTGACACTGCCTCAGCGTAAGTGCGAGGAGTCGGAATGTCAAGGGCGTCGGGGTCACCCTCAGGGGCGAGGAGCATGGCACAGAGATGAGGGGAAGCGGCCGCCAGGAACTCTAGCTCAAACTGCCTGTCCTCTAGGGCGTCACAGCCAAGGGCAGACACACCCCCGACGGCCAGAGGACTGGTAGGAGGAGCAGCCACAAGCGTGGTGGCGTAGTCAAGGCGGCGGGTAGAGGCAAAGTCAGTAACTGCGGCAGTAAGAGCGGACACAGAGGACACAGAGGCACGAGGGTGAGTAACAAGAGAGGCGAGAACACGAGAGAGAACAGGACGGTACGTGCGGTAGTAGTCAGTGACAGGAGTAGGGAGCGACACAGTGAGGGCCGACTCAGGAGGAGACGGAAGCACAGACTGAGACGGACGAGGTGGACTAGAAAGAAGGAAGGCAGTACGAAGGTCAGTGAAGGGAACAGGAGACGAGGGACGAGCACGAGGGGAGCGACGAGTAGCCCAAGAATGAGACGGAGGAGGAGAGGACAAAGGCGGAGAACTGGGGAAAACAGCGGGGGAGGAGTCAGGAGGAGGAAACGTGGGACCGTAGACAGGAGGAGAGGCGGAGGAGGGAGGAGAAGGGGAGGGGAGACCAAGGATCCGAAGACCCGAGACAGGAGGAGGAAGTGGCTGCTGCTGCTGCGGCTGCGACTGCTGCTGCTGCGGACGCGGCTGCTGCTGGGACTGCTGCTCCTGCGGGTCCAGCTGCTGCTGCTGCTGCTGCTGCTCCTGCGGCTCCAGCTGCTGCTGCTGCTCCTCCAGCCGCTGTAACTCCCTCTCCTCTCTCTCCAACGCCAGCTGCTCGTCACGGGCACGGCGAACACGAGCCTGGTGCCTAGTCGGGTAGGGGTGGGGGGGTGGAGTAGTGTCCGAAGCAGCGGCAGCTCCAGAGTCCACCTCAGAAGAACTAGGCGCACCACCCCCAGAGGCAGCACTAACACCAGCTCCAGAACCAGGCTCACCTGAACCCGAAGGAGGCGCACCCTCACCCCCAGACGCAGCACCCCCAGTGTCCGCGCGGCCAGCACCAGCTCCCGGACGACAAGAGTCCTCTGCACCCACCGGGTCAGCTCCAACTCCAGAACCAGAAACTCCAGCTCCAACCCCAGCTCCAACTCCAGCACCCCCAGAACCAGAAACTCCAGTGCCAACTCCAGCTCCAACTCCAGCTCCAACTCCAGCACCCCAGAACCAGAAACCGGTACAGGAACAGGCGCCTCACCAACCTCTCGAGAGCTAGCACCAGCGGCACGCTGCGAGGAGGACTGTGGGGAGGGAGGCTGTACCGGAGGGGCTACCGAAGGAGGAGGGGTAGCCTGGGACACACCTGACGGGGCTGGACCAGGGGGGGGAGGCTGTACCGGGGGAGCAGGAGGGGGAACGGCAGTCAGGAAGAGGGGGGGAGGAGGAACCGGGAGACCTCGACTGGGGTACCTGACGTAGTACGGAGTGGACTCCTCGAAACGGACGTCACGGGAGTCAAAGAACCGGTGAGAGGGAGGGTGGTAAAAGGTGAAGTCAGAGGAGTCCTCAGGGAAACCAAGGAAGACACAGGGGACGGCACAAGGCGAGAGCTTGTCCGCGGAGGTGTCGCGGACAAGAGCCAAGCACCCCCAGACACGAAACCGCGACGCAACACCAGGGGACCCTGTCCAAAGACTGGTCGGTGAAACCTCTGGTCGAGAGACACGTGGCCAGAGGTTCAGCTGGTGCGCGGCGTACCTGACCGCGTAGGGCCACAGAAAATGGGGGGCACAGGCGTGAGTCAGGGAGGTGCGGGCGATCTCCATGACCAGGCCTATGCGGCGCTCAGCAACCCCATTCTGCTGTGGGGACTCTGGAAGCGTCCAGGACTGACGAATGCCCTGCTCGCGACAGAATCCAGCGAGAATGCCGGAGCGAAACTCACCCCCACGGTCAGAGTGGAGACAGCTGACACGACGACCACGAGTGTCCTCAGTGGTGAGCAACCACCTGATTAGCGTAGAAGTCACCTCAGACTTCTTCGCCAGAGGGAACACTGTGGTGTAGCGGTGAAATAGACAGTAATCGCCATGGGGGGAGGAAGCAGTGCAAGCTGTGCCTCAGTGCAAGCAGCGCGGTAACTAGCGTCGAGCGAGCGGAGGTGAGCGATCAAGTCAGCAGAGCGCTCAAACGAGGCAAGATCAGGAAACAGGAACGGGAGGAAAAGACGGCCGAGAGAGACAGTAGCGGGAGTAGAGTAGCGGGCCTTAATCGCAGTGAGGTACGCAGCAGCGGTGCGAACCTGAGTAAAGTGGACCTCCTCGGACTCAGGGAGGAGGCTGCTGAGTGCGATGCAGGCCGCAGCTTCACGCGACGTCCAAGCCGTCCGGTCAGCGCGCTGACGGGCAAAGCGAGCCGTAGCAGCGTCGTCAGGAGCAGGGCCTAAAGCGGTAGGCTCGGGGGGCTCGGGGAGGTCACCAGTAGCGTGTGACCAGAGGGTCTCGCCCCCCTGGACCTGACTCTCTAACAGACGACGAGCGCGAAGAAGCCAGACGGAAAAGTCAAGGGGTCTACCGTCGGCGTCGAAACGAAGAACTCGCGGAGTCGCCATAGTGAGAACCAACGCGAACGAACAGGCGAGTAACAACCGGGGGGGAAGAGGACTCAGTCGCAGCGGAAGAGCGGGCTAGGGCGACGGGCCAAAACGTAGGGTAGGGCAATGGGCCAGGGCCTAGGGTAGGGCGACGGGCCAGAGCCTAGGGAGGGCGACGGGCCAGGGCCTAGGGAGGGCGACGGGCTAGGGCCTAGGGAGGGCGACGCGACGGGGGAAAGGGCGGGAGCGACGCGACGGGGCAGGGCGACGCGACGGGACAGGGCGACGCGACGGGGCAGGGCGGCGCGACGGAGCAGGGCGACGGGACAGGGCAGGGCGACGCGACGGGGTAGGGCGACGCGACGGGACAGGGCGACGGGACGGGACGGG